CCCCAAAACCCCAAATCCCCAAAACCCCAAAACCCCAAAACCCCTGACCAGCACTAGCAGGTTGAAGAAAGATTAGCTCTAAAAGTATTTTTGCTTAATAGCATTAACATTACTTTGGGGCACGCCGATCTTAACTCCTTTACAATGATAATTATTGATGGTCAGTGAAGTGACTTTGTTCAGATTGTTTTTAGACCTACAGCTGATCCCATAAGCTTACTTATTCCTTCTTGCTCTCTTCAGCACCATTCTCTTCGTGTATGGGCTCTTATCCTTAGGCGTCTTCTGAAGAACTCTTGATCTGTTAGTGTTGTAATCGGGTGAGGCGCTATTATTAGCTATAATCTGGTAAGTTCCAGACGAGTTTTCGTGTTTGAAATGGCTGGAATATTGTGATTTCTGTGTGTTTAGAATCGAATTTTACCCTATGTAAGTTTTTGTATTTCGAACTTTGGAGATTATTTGAGTAGGTTTTGGGATAGAGTCAAGTATTATGAGTCTCTTTTGATTTTTGAGATTTTTGTGATTTGGGAAAGAAGGCTTTTGTTTTAGGTTTTTTTGAGTTCTTCGAGCCAATATCTATCAGCATATGATGCTTGTTAAAGGGTGAACGCTTTTTCACAGAGTCGTTAGTTTTCTATTCACAAATTTAGAGAGTAGCCTACAGCGCTGGATTCTCTCATCCTTTGGTAGTTTTGTAAGAATCGTGTGAATTGAGATACTTTTGAACCGTCTTTATAGAAGTTTTTACTCGTCCTGTCCTTCATTGTCTTATTAGCTACACGGAGTTATGCCCATACTTACTCTTTGTGCCTATCTGCGACTTATTGAAGAACTTATTTTTATTCCTGCTTTTCTTGGAATCTACGATGATTTTATTGTTCCTTGTATGTCTAATAAGAGTAAAAATGGTGTTTACTTGATATTTTTAAACATTTTCTCGACCTCTGAGGATTTCAAAGCACACGAGTTCTTCTTACGCTGTGAGTTCCTGGATTTTTCTAAAAAGGACTTATTCTTGTATGTATGCGAAGGATCTTGATTCTTAGAGGCACTCTTGTTTGCCCTGCCTGATATCACCTGCTTGAAATTTCTTTTACTCAAATTCCTGCTATGATCATTACTCCTGTTTTCTGATTTGTCTTTGATAATATTATTGTACATCGCACTCGGTTTAGTGAACTGACTTCTCCTTGAGAGATCTTCTGAGTTGAGCTCTATTCTAGTGCTCCCTCTATATGATAAAGACATACAGATACTTGGCTACTGAAGTTTCGTCGTAGTATCCAGTTTGGGCTCTTTCTTTAGAGATCAGTTCTATTATTCATAAAAACTCAAGTTACTATTTCCTTTTCCCTTTGACACTAGATTATTGGTATCAGTGTTGAGTTTTATCATGTTGTTCCTAACATTTTGGAAGCTATCTTTTTGAGGGAGGTTGAGAGCCTCTTTAACATTTACAATAGATATCTTATTTGCTCTCTTCACTTTTGTTAAGACCCCGGTTTCTAAAATTACAGCTGCCCTTACCTCATTCTTTTAAAATTATCAGATGTCTTGTACAGATCAGATTCTAAAATAAAGTTTATTGTGGAGTCAATGCAGGCAGTATCCTACCTCTTCCTCTATCTTTTTGGAAAATGAGTTGTTCCTTGAGTCTTTCTTGAACTGAGTTTCTTTCCTGAATGACAGCTTGCATGAGACCACATATTTCTTCATGTCTAAAATGAGCTCCAGTGGTGGGATCTATGTATTTCTCTTCTTCTTGACCATAAAATATTCCTTTATAATTGTTGGGGTCTGGAAGCTCATCTAATTGCTTAACAAATCTATCATACCATCACTTGAGACGTATGAACCTATATTAGAGATATTCAGACTGACATAATTAAGGGTTAAGGGAGTAAATATCAAAGAATAACTTACTTTCTGAATCAAAGTAGCCTGCTGCTTTCTCATCTCTCATTCTTCTAAGCTCATCTTCCAACATTTCATTCTCTAATTCAGGGTTATTAGCTCGTTTATGAGTAAAGAATAGTTCCAAAGAATCTGAGGAATAAAATAAAATCAGAGGAGTTAAGGCAATGAGTATTGGAAGTTTGTTAACACTGGATGGTAAATGTACCTCTGCTGCTCCTAATTTCATCCATTTCTTTATGATTCGATATGATTTAAATATATTTAAAATAATTCAACTGTTTGAAACAATGCTGGGGTTTTGGGGTTTTGGGGTTTTGGGG